AATTTTTGTCTTACTACAGTTCAAGTTGTACGCTTTTCTCCTATTTCTCGTCGAGTTAAAAATGTTTTGAAAAATAAGCAGTAGTAGGGATTTAAGTGAAATTTGGTCCTCTTTGCGATAAAACTCCATGGAATTTTGTTCTAGTTGTACAGCAACTTATTCAGGTTTCAAGTACTTTGGACTTTCCCAAATTACTATCAACGTCACTCTAATTTTCTGAAATCCCTGTGTAATTTTTCATCCGATAGAAAGTATGCAGGAATGGAAAATGCTATGAATGAATGTAGAAGAACAGTGTCACACACAACAGTATCATAAACTGTTATTGAAATATCACTCCACGGGACGATCAAAAGATTCCCGAAAAATTGTTACTTCATTTCCAACCTTGTCCGGATATACAGGTTCGTCTATCAAAAACTGAGCTGAGATTCATTCGTCAAAAACTGAGCTACCAGCAGCGGTAAAAAGCAGAAGCAAATCGCAGGCATGTTTCCCTAAGTTTGCCGTGATGTACATGTGCGTATGAACTGTGTTCTACATTTTTATGTGGATCTTCTCTAGGCTGTTGTGACTACAACCTACCTACCTGAGTTCTCCATCCCTAGTCTTATTATGATCCAAAAATTCTTCAGTGAAAATTGGAATGTCAAAGTTTCCAAAGTCCATGTCTTGCGGGTCTTTGGGTAACGTCGGTTGAAAAATTGGAGTATTTACCTTGAAAAGCAGACAAAACATATTTTTTAATGAAGAACTTACATGCAATGTGTGTTTAAAGATAACAATTTGTGTGACAACAGCAGAAATTAGAGAGCGTAATTCAATAAGCACTTCCTATGTTTTAGCTTGTTACGGTTCAATTTTAATTTTAATTAGCGGTCCGGTCCGCCTGTCTGCTAACCCGTTCACAAATTTACCGATAATTTTTTCCATATTTTATTTTCAATATTACAAGGACAGTGCAGATTTGGAGGTTTGCCCACCTCAGGTACCCCCAGGACCGGTTTCGAACCAATTAGCTCTCATCAGCTGGGTTCAGCGTGAAATTAGCGACCGGAAACACTTGAATCACCCAATGCAAATACAAACGGAGTGAACTTTTTCAGGCTAAACCCAGCTGATGAGAGCTAATAGGTATATAAAAAGTAAATAAAAGAAAAAAATTAAAAATCGTTTAGAGATATGGGATGTGTCTTTATGCATTTGATGTTGAAATCCAAAAAATAATGTTTTTGCTTAATTGGGAGCATGCCAAACTTTCATAAATTTTGCATTGCTACATTTGCCACCCTGTACAAACTTTATCTGAAGCACTAATTTTTTTTACTTTTATCATGTTTCAAAATTAGGGCAAATTTGGCAGTGTAACGTTTATTTTGTTGAGCAGTTTAGTTGTTTATTGTTCATAAATTTCGTTTTTACTGAAAATTAAACATTTCAAGAAGTTTTCGCATGAGGTCACTTTTTACTCTTACAGTGTATTGTACGCGCCCAGAGGCAAGATTCTTTGCCAACAGCGGTAATGTGGACAATTGTGCGCATAGCGAGTACGCGAGCCATTGACTCAAATTTTGAGGATGGCCGCCAAATAAATCCGAAACATTTTAGCTTAGTTATGAAGCCCCGTGAAAGGAGGGAAAAAAAGCCCCGCGAAAGCCTTTGAAGACAATCGAAAGCTCAAAGGCAACAAAAACTCAGTTGAGACTAAGAATTTTTTCAAAACAATTTGCTGCAAACAAAACTGCTCCAGAACCGTCAATAACGACTTGAAGGTAATGTTAAGAGTCAACAACGGCTTTCATTGACTGTTAAGGGCCAGCTAAAGGCAATCGATCAATGTCGAAAGCGCCTGAAAATATTAAAATGCTTATCAATCTTCAGATGATTCAGTGCATTTTAAAACCCTCTAAAAGCGCGTTTAAATCAGACCGAAGAGGAGCGAACGAACAAAGAAACCAATTCGTTCCTATTCGCTCGTTCGTTCGTTTTGCGACGTTTTTATTTGAACGATCATTCGCCTTTGCTGTTGATCAGTGTATTCCGACGTGCGAACAAGCAAAATGTCGGATACAGAAGAGAATATGGTGTTCGGACTTGTTGAAAAAAAGAAACGCAACTGGGGATAACAGTTTATTAATGGAATTAACCAGTGATCGTTTGGGTCAAATTACTATTTTTCATTCGTCCATTACATTCTGTAAACAAATAAACATTATTTTATTTTATTTTTTATTATTCATTATTAATAAGTATTATTTTTTACCTGTATAGTAGTTAGTAATAAAAATATTGTAACGGAAATGGCCTGGAGTACTCACGTTTGAAATAGAGTGATCAAAATTAGTGGTATTTCAGTAAATGGGAGCCCCATTTGCGCCCCATTTACTGTCAAATATGACACTGACAAGCGGGAAGTTTCGCACCTGTTCTGGAGATTT